TTCAGTTTTGATGTATTTCATGTTTATGTCTTTTCATGTATTTTTCAGTTATGTTCGAAATTTCCGAGGACAGAAATTTTGTAAGGATGGAGGATTGTAATATCCCAACTTTTATCAGTGTAATAATATTTTAGTTCCGATATTATTTTTCGGAATTAATTATTTTCAGTTATTTCAGTCGAAATTACCGGAACTATTTTCGACGTACCGTTTACGTTCGAAATAATTTTGGTAATTTAGCATTATGTTTAATTGGATAATTAAACATAATTAAGTGATTGATTTAACTTAATCACGAGATTAGCTAAATTGTCTGGATTTTATTCCGAGTTCATGTGCTTCGTCGTGCGTGTGTTCGAGAGCATGTGAAGGCCGTGCGCACGCGTGTTCGTCCGAGGATCCGTGCCAACATCTTGCTAGGAGGCCGTGCGTGTGTTGTCCGTGAGTGCCGTGCAAAGTCTAGCCGGCGGAGTGTCCAAGATTCTTGTTCCATGTCATGCCAAGGAGTCCGTGAATTCCTAGGTGAGCTTTTGTCCCAATGTCGTGCTATATGAGTGCATAGAGTCCGTGCTCCGCCCTTGTCTTGTAATGCTTTGGTTCCCAAGGTTGTCTTGTCCCATAATCCGTGCATAAATGGAACATTTGACCGTGCATCTTCCTCCTTACTTTCTTGGCAATTCACGTGAGTAAATGAGACAAAATTTTAAGTGCATGTTGTGCCAAGTGTCATGAGCATTTGACCTTTGCTTCCCCCCCTCACTTTCGGCCTTGGTTATAAGAAGGTGTTGGTGAATTTTTATCATCTTCTTTTCACGCCTAAGTCTTCATTGCCGAGAGCTAGAGAGTGTTAGTGAGGATTTTTGTGAGTGTTGTTCGTGGGCAATAGTCGAGAGCCTCCCGCACGCATGCAAGCACGTCACGGCGGTCCGAGTGCAACGCGCACACGCCGACGCATCGCACGCTACGCCAACGCTCGTCCACGGAGGCACGGCCGAGAGTGGGAGTCCGAGTCTCTTAACCTCTTGAGTTTAATACGAGGTAAGTTCCCGTCGGTTTTTGCCCGAGAATATCATGTTTATTTAAGATAAGGGTTTATATGTCATGCATGCATGTTTTGAGTAATTGAACCCGTAGCCATGCGTTCATGTCACGTTATAAATTAATTCACCGAATCATGTTATTATTTTCGAGGAATTCTCCGAATAACCCTTGCATACTTAGATTTTATTTGCGAAATTATGTTTATTTGAACTTAAGTATTCGGGTGAATTTAGCCATTTTAAAGGAGTAGCATGCTTGTTTAGTTAATTTCATTATTGGCGTGCATGCGTAGCCTTAGCCGTGTCATGTCACGTTTCAAGTTATTTTTCCTCCGACCATTATTGCATGCTTAGCCTCTATATGCAATTT